TGTCTGCTTTTTCTAAAAATGGCCAAATGTGTGTGCTTACATGTCTGAGCATAGTGTGGGGACTTGAAGTACACTGTTAATACACAAAGCATGATGACTTCACCAGCTAAAGCATAAAGATGATGATTTTATATTAAAAATTTTATTGTATAGGCTTCTGACAGACAGATCTAAGTCTTTGTGATTGTGCTAGCTCTCAACAGGAGAAAGCTTTGATGCCATTCCCCATCAGCTGCTGAGGAAGTACGTTGGGTATGCTCGGCAGTACGTCCACCCAAAYCTATCTCCAGAGGCTGCACAAGTCCTCCAGGAATTCTACCTCGAGCTCCGGAAACAGAACCAAGCAGCAGACAGCACCCCCATCACCACRAGGCAGCTGGAGTCCCTGATTCGACTGACAGAGGTAAATGCAAGCTGGAATGCTTAAGGGATTTRAAAGCAAAGAGATTATTCCTAAGGTGTGTGACAGCTTATTCACCACTAYGCTTTTTTGGTTTGTTAAAATAACTGAGAATGCAAGAGGCTTACAAGTGCTTAAGAGCTACTGTTACTTAAAGCTTCTTATGAAGTAAAACACCCCTGAGGAGGTGGAAAGGGAATCTATCACATTCCCCAAAAGGAGGAAAAGTAGGTGCAGGCAGAAATAACCTGCTGCCCACCTTGAACTTAGAATGCTTCTGKTTTCCCTAACACTGCATTAATAACACTGTGATCTGCTGCTTCACAAGGATGCACTGCTAAAATGTAAATAAACTCCAAGCTACAGCCTGAAAATGCAAGTATGCAGGAGGTGATACTGACACACTAACAAAAAATAGAAAAATCTTCCTTTAAGTCCTTTAGGCTTAGGTTCTATCTCTGCTTCTWAAAATTTGTGCTTGTTGCCTTTGTGGAGTGATTGTAGTGTGTGTAGCCCTTTTTCACATCAGTTGTGATACATCTTGAATAAATGTTTATGGATTTTTTTTTTTTTTTTCTGTTTTAAGGCAAGATCAAGGCTGGAATTAAGAGAGAAATCTACCAAGGAAGATGCTGAGGATGTAATAGAGATAATGAAATACAGGTAATACTCACTGCTTTAAAAATAAATAAAGCACCACAGTGCTATTAATTTGAAACTTTATATATGCAAACACAGTGAAGAAATCACTTTATCAGGCTTAGACCCATGATACTAATATTTGGATTTGTTAGCTGTTCTTTAAAGGCTGACAGCAGCCTTGAGTTGAACACAACTGCTCAGGCTTGTGAGTTGTGTGATCACAGTAATTCTGTGTATCTGTGCACATAACTCAGACATGAGGCTCTGCTGAAGGGTTTTTGCCTCCCATGTGATTACTCTCTGTTGCAGGTGAACAATTAAAGTTTAAAAGTGATTTGGATGAATGTTTAGTCTAAGTTCCCTAGAGAGTGACTTTCTTCATATGGGATCATTTTCTACATGGCTTCTGAAAGCCAGTTATGTTTTAGGAAGCAAATCCACACGTTTCTTATGAGTGTTTTATCTCTTTTTGTAACCTGTTTGTAGCATGTTGGGAACCTACTCAGATGAGTTTGGAAAACTGGACTTTGAGCGTTCCCAGCACGGATCTGGAATGAGCAATCGGTCMCAGGCCAAGAGATTTGTGTCTGCCCTGAACAGCATTGCAGAAAGGACCTACAACAACATCTTTGAGCTGCAGCAGCTGCGGCACATCGCCAAGGAGCTGCAGATWCGGGTGAGCTCAGCACCTCAGCAACAGCAAACTGCCAGAGCACTCACAATTGTTTATTGCCAAACGGAGAGCAGCAAAGACTCCTCTGTTGTGTCTCTTTGCAATGACAGAAATAACCAATTTACTGCTGTTASGCTGASATGTGTTCCTGAAGCATCTTCTAAKCWTTACTGAYCTTAGAGATGTTTGCAACAGCAACTCCTTGCATAAGTAAGGGCTGATTCTCCTAATGAGGCTGATTCTTTGCCTTTCACAGAACAAAATAGAATATTGCTATGTTGGTTTCAGCAYTTCACTSCCTCTGRCTCCCYAGAGGAYACACCTATTTYTGTTCCCAAATTTAGACTTGTGGTGTCTGTGCTGTATTTCAGCAGTGCAATGATGTTTCTGCTTGAACTTCTCTGGACCAAATATGCCTTTCAGGTTTTCATTCCAGCTTCAGACATCCTAAAGTTCTACCTTAATAGAAACATGTAGGACACATGGCCACAAATGCGTTCTACACTGTAATTGGTTTGCATTTTGTACTTGTGGAGGCTTCAGTCAAAGAAAATTATTGATAGCAAATTCTACTTTTTGGTCCATTGACTACTTCCTTAGAGTTAATTCAATTAACTCTAATTCTCCCTTCAAATATGGAATATTTTTTGCCCATTCAAGGTTTTATACCTGGAAGTTAGTAAGAGGTATAGTTATCATGCTTTTTTTTTCGTAGATACTTATGGAATTTATGCATATGCAACTGCATCCTTTCTGCATATCATAAAGTAGAGAATAAGCTACTTTTAAAATAACACTACAATAAAAATAGGGTGTAAATAAAGCACAAAAGGGGGAGGGACTGATGGTATGACACCTCCTAGCAGATGAATAGTTTGCTAAGGAAAARCTGACCTATTCTTAGCCCACTTTATTTCATTATGTTCTTTTAAATGGTTAATGTTGCTTTACATCAGATCCAGATGTCATTCTCCAGTTTGACATTTTTGTCTTTATTTTCCCAGGTGGCTGATTTTGAAAGCTTTATTGGATCCCTAAATGATCAGGGTTACCTTTTGAAAAAAGGTTCAAGRGTTTATCAGCTTCAGACCATGTGAGAAGAGTCACTGTGATGACCTCCCTTGGGATGATCATTCCACTGGACTGATGGACCTGCAGCAGAATCCAACACAGCACATCCTGAGCTCAGCTGCACCTTGCTGGGATGGAGATTCCCCTGCAGAAATACAGTGGAAAGCTGCAATAGGACAAACTAACATGTGATATTGCTGCCTGGCTCATCCTACAGGTCTGATATTCCAAATGGGACCATGCAGGGATACAATGCACCTCATCATCCTCGAGGAGTGGAAGGTGTGTTTTTATACTGACATTATTACAGTGCCACAAGAGGTTTTACTTCTAAAAGACATGCTGGACCCACAAAATTCAACCCAAAAATCTTCCATGAGAGGATGATACTTTCAGCACTGTAGTTCATTTARAGTCTAGAAATGTTTTCAAGAAGTTGTGAAGCTTCATGTTGAGAGAACACCATTTTATAGCTGTTATCAAATGACACTCTATTGAAATGGACTTGATTTTCTGCTTTGAAACTTCATCTTTGAAGCCGAGGTTTTATTTGAAATGCAAGTCTGCTATAAGAAAATATCCTTATTACAATATTTAATTTGTAAAACAGAGATTGAATTTTGACTTTTCATTAAACTTTATATATGAGAAATATTATTTGTTCAAGRCTGTTTTAATGGTCATTACAAGATCTGTAACACAAGCAGGTTCTGCTTGTTTCTGTGTAATGCTGTTCCTGGCACAGAACGATGTGTGTTCAGCAAGAGTGAAGTGCTGATTGTTTCCTGACTTTGATGAAATCAGAATCAGGGTCTGCTGCAATAAAAGAGCAGGTGAGAAGCTTTTGGTATAAGAATTAACAAAACAAAACCAATCCCCCTCTTAAAGAATAATGTCTTTTTAAAAATTGAGAACACATTGCTGATTCTTCTGTTTTCCTTCTTATATCTCAGGTAAGATACGATAGATACCAAAAAAGTAGAAATACCAAAGGTTTGTGTCTCATCTTCTAATTTAAGGGACCTAAGGGTCTGATGTGAACTGTGCTTCCACAGCCATTTGGTATCAAAATACAAGCTTTAGATGTGAAAGAACATGTTAAACTTTCCAGTGCTGCCTAAGTGAGAATTTACCCCAATACACTTGAAACGGAAAGCTGCTCTGACAGAAGTGTTTTAAGTCTGAAATTATAGTTCTGAACTCTTAATGGGCAAGGTCTGCTCTCTCAACTAATCGGAAGTAGGTGTTAAATACTGATTTTAGCTTAGTACAGTGTAGGGGGATAGGAACGAGCCTCAGGAGCAAATCAACTCCTGCACCTGGCAAAGTAAACTCATTCCTKTTCCTCCTTGAGATAAAGTAATCGCGGGCAAGCGAGGGCCAGATGCAAGTACCGAGCACAAGAGACCATTTGCGCTCTCTCTKAGAAGTCTCTTAATATAAAGCAAACTTTCCCCTTCCTCCCTCAAGGGCTTGTCCGCGAACGCTACGGCCGCCGACCCGCCGTACGGAGGAGCGGGATGAGCCCGGGCAGCCACCCGGCGGGGCGCCATGGGCAGCGCCGTCCGCGCCCGGGGGCCGCCGTGGGAGAGCCTGGACGGGGAGGTAGGCGAGGAACCGCCGGGAATGCGGTGGGAATGCGGTGGGAATGCGGTGGGAATGCGGTGGGAATGCGACGGGAAAGCGCCGTGCCCCGGACGAGCCTTTCAATTCCGCCGCCGCGGGTGGCCGCCCGCCGTAAAGCACGAGAGAGGCGGGGCTGACGTAAAGCG